TGTGTGTGTGTGTGTGTGTGTGTGTGTGTGTGTGTGTGTGTGTGTGTGTGTGTGTGTGTGTGTGTGTGTGTAATGCTGATGTTGTGAGGACATGAGTGTTTTCAGAGGTGTACTGTAGGATCCTCTAGGGACTAAAACAACGAGTCTCACTGTGTAAATATGAACATTGAAATGAAATCTGGATTTTATTTGATGTTAAAAGTCATCTGTGTGAAATTCAGGAATTAATATAAAATAAAATATTGCTCTTAGTAAATGGTGACTGTATTTTATCCTCGGACTCTAGGGCAGCTTTGCATGATTCACATTCATCTTCTGTCTTAAAAAGGCAGTTTTAGCCCCTCCCCCTCAGCCTGAGATTAGGAATAGCTGCTCTTGGTGATGTCATAAAAGTAAATAAAGAGAAAAACTCCTTGAAGTTGAGTGCTTAGCACAGTTAGAACATTTTTAATCAGATCAGAAACATGTACATCCTGAACTGAAGAAAAAATTCACAGCTGTATTACACGGACTGAGCTCCATGTGAGCTGCTTAACTGTGTGAATCTACAGGACAGTTCAAAATGCATGAACAATGTAGAACAAATGTGGAGGGATGCATCAAGTGTATAATCTTTGCTAAACCAAACCTATGGGTAAAGGAGAATGAAATTTCCATAGTGCATCAGTCGGAGCCCATATTACCAATAACTACCTCAATGCTGTTTGTCAGCAGGTGCTGGTGGAAACTGTGATAAAGGAAAGAGAAGAAGAGGAGAGGGATAGGCATATTAGGAGGCAGTGGGAGAGAAAGAAAGGCAGAAGAAGAAAGACTTCTCAGTTTGTAAGAGATGTTCTGATTGAATCTCTGTTCTAAGTGAAATGAGCAGGGTTATTTCCACTTCTTCTTCTTTTTTGGGGGGATAATTTTATTTTTTTATTCTTTCCACTTTTAACAGACAAACAAAATGTGAGGTCGAACATGTTGGCAGAGAAGCAAATGCAGCTCACACAAAGACCCAAATTTGAGTTGTACACGTCACAGATTTCCACACATAATTATCTTTTCTTTTAAGGATTCAGGATGCGTTGCTCGCTTACGTTTAGGTTGCCACTTCTTTTAAGGCTCTGTTTTCTTGGTTACCATGGTGATGTGTTCCCACTTTGTCTGGACAACTGCAGACAGAGAATAGTTTCCTGCTGAAATACATTAGAAACATTACAAATTCATGCTGATTTTCACTATAACAGGCTCATCACCAGCTGCGTCCATGAACACAAACAAATACATGGCTTTTGCACAAAATGACAACAAAAGAAGGAAAAACAAACAAAGTAACACACAAAAAGACCACAGAGTCTCCTCTGCGTTACTGTGTGTAACACACTCTGAAATTATGGAAACATGAGGCTGGGGGCGTGTTCATGTCTGCCTTCGGAAGAACCAGCCTCAGCTTCAGCTTGTCCTAGCTTCGGGTGCAGCTGGAGCTTCTCCAGGCCTGGTTTTCAGGTTCAGGTTGGAGTCCGAGAGAAGGAAAAGGACATGCTTGGCATTAGTGAGGGGTCCTCACAGAGGCGGGAGCAGAGTGGTGTGTGTGATGAGTCACAGATCAGTTGAGTGGGATGTTTACAAACCCCCAGGCGCTCTCTCTTTCTGTTGACACATAATGCAGCCTCTGACATATGCACGCTGTGATTCCAGCATGTGTGTGCATGTTTGCATACGAGTGTGTTAAAGCATTGACAGCGTTTGACAGTAATCTATGAAATGAGGCTACAGCTGCATCTCAAGTACTCACAGTCTTCTTCCGAAATCTCTGAGGAAATAATGATGATGCACTTTTTTTTATTTCTCTAACTCGACGGAGACGCAATGAAGACGATCATTAATCCATTCACACTTTCAGACTCATCAGCTTATCATCAGCCTTGGCTTGATGAAGATGAAAAATCCTCGCAGGCTCACCTGAGTTCATCACTGTGTTCATGTCCTGCATGTTAATGAAGCTCCCAAGCTCAGGGTCCGACAGATGAAGCTCAGGCTGAAGCACCAAGAGCTGCAGTTTTGGTTTTGGTTTCCCCATAAACTGTAAATAAAAGATCACATTAGCCACATGGACTCCCCACTCTAATTAACTTGTCAAAATAGTCCTTATACTAAATGAAGCCCCTCAGTCTATCCTCTCCTGTGTCTTTAAGAGCCTCCCTCCCTAAAAGTCCACTTTAGTCTGATTGATGAATTCCTGGAAGCTACTAGAAGGGCCACACCAAGGCCTTGAGACTGTATATAAAAGATGGGGATTTGGTGCATGAGTTCCAGTTTAGTGATGGTTTGATTTAAACCCCCCACTTCCTGTCACCTGTGGTTGATCCACCCATAGTCTCTGAGTGTCGTTCACCTCCTCTGATAGCTGTGAGACTTTGAGTTTGGACACAAAATTATACTAAAAGAGTTCACTGATGTTTGCCTGTTTTATTGCTGTTTGTCCTCCTGGATACAAACCAAACTGCAGCAGCTCTGGGTTTAGTGGAATTTCTTTTGGGATATGTTCCTCTTATCGCTCTAACCGCATCCATGTACGTCTGCAATATTTAACTTTCCCAAGTTCCACATGTTCGTAGCACCTGGTTAGTCTGAAAAACAGCTCCAGCCAATCCTCTACTTGGACTCAGTTTTCAAATAATCATATACATTTAAATTACTATATAAACTCTCTGATGAAAAGGAGACCATGTTTTTGTCTTTAAAAAAAAAAAGTTGTCAAAATTCATTATCCACCTCTGATCTAAGACATTCTTGGCATCAAAGCTGGATTTGTGGTTCCACTGGGGATTGAACCCAGGACCGTCTGCGTGTAAAACAGATGTGATGACCGCTACACCACAGAACCACCTAACTGCACCAGGCTTAGCTCACATTCACTGCCCCAAATCAATAACGGTGACTAATTCAAATCTAAACCCCTTTAAGTTGACATGGTAACTCATGAATTACTTCATTAGCAAAGATTACAAAACATCCAAACTACATCAACTGCCTGAAAAGAAGATCTGAAGATGGAAATCTCCACCCAACTGCAAGCAAGCCCCTGCTGAATCAAAACCCACACTGTCCCGCCAAGTACCCTGCTTTAATGTGTGCTTGACTCTAAGTCACACCACAGTTTACTAAATGAACCTCATGCTGCACTGACTTAAAACTGGCGACTGAGACAAAAAACTCATCATAGAAGTCTCCATTTCAAACAAAGTCTGAAGTTCTTATATAGCCCATTTCCATTAGTACCTACTCGGATAAGCTTGATGTGACTCAACGTTTCTCTTGTTGCCAGATTTCAGCATTGGCAAATTGATTTTCAAGGAGTCGCTTTCATGACTCATTCAGTCTGTTGATGTCACATTTTCAGATCACCTCAGATTACTTGGAACCCCGGGTGAGCAGGTACTTAAAAAGGTACCTGTTGCCAGGTACTACAACCTAATGAAAAACCTTTAAACCGTATTGAGCTGTCACAAGACAATTCAAGTAGATGCTAATCAAAAAGGGCTAATAAATGTCTTCTTTGCAGCCAGAGAAGTCACCCCCTGCTGGTCACTGGAAACAATGCAGCTCTATTCTGAGAGCCAGTGAGTTGCAAAAATTTAGAACTTTTTGGCTCTTGAGGTTTTTTAAAACCCATCTTAGGTTTTTTTGGTGGTTAAGGTTCAGGTTAACACATTTATCTGTGATACAAAGCAATGAATTTCCCAGGCAGCAGTCCCTTTAATGGAGAGCAACATTTAGCCAAAACATGAAAACAGCTCAACCAGATGACCTCAAATTTGGCACAGAGCTCCCTGAAGCCCCCGGCAACACATGAGCCGAGTCTGAAGAATGAGCATGCACTGATTTCAGTAATTATGAATTACATGTTTAGACTGGAAGATCACCAAACTTATATATGAACTAAGTGTGAAGGACTAGGCCAGGCTCCATCTGCTGCTGCTGGGGATCATGTGAGATGGTCCAAAGCTATGGGGCATAGACTTAAATGGACCTGGTGGTGAGATCAGCTGTTTTTGAGGTCAGGAGTTCACTGGATGTATTTTATGATATCCTGGGAGTCCTTACAGGCTGAAAATGGAGAGTCTGAACATATTTGAAGACACACTGACTGAGTGCAGATGACTCTGTGAGGAGATAAACAATGTTCACCATAAATACTGCTGATAGTTTGTGAGTGCAGGTTTGGTGTGAGAGCTGTAAAGCTGCAGGATTCTCTCTGATGGGACCACACGAGTCCCGCCCGCTCTCTTCATATCGAGGTCAGTCTCTGCTTTTTGTCTTGTAGCCTGCAGAGACTCATTCTTCCGCTTCACTGCTGCTTTTCCTCCTGTCCCTCCTCCTCCTCCCTCTCTGTGCCAATCCACGGGGATGAAAGATGGCCGCTCGTCACATTGAAGGCTGTCAGTTAATCGCTGCACTTGTCAGACAGGCTGCCGTTGTTTTGACATACAGGGGATTTTTCTTTTTTTTTTTTACTCCTTCCTGTCAGAGTCCACTGCAGATGTAGTCCCACCTGTCTCTGTGTTTAAACTGTTATTTCTGACAAGAGGAGAAAAACATCTTCAGATAAAGTTCTCTCAGCTTTAACCACAGCTGCAGATATTGTTCCACTGACCTGCTTGTTGAACATAAATAATCCACACAGCAACATGTTAATGACTGAATGCTTAAAAACATAAAAAAAATTTTAATCATGAAAAAACTCATAAAAGAGTGTCTTTCGTCCCGTCTCTCTCCCCTCACCCCGAACTGGTCACAGCAGGTGGCCGCACCTCCCTGAGCCTGGTTTTGCTGAAGGTTTCTTCCTGCTTAAAGGGAGTTCTTCTTTCTCACTGTCGCCAAGTGCTTGGTCATTGGGAGCTGACTCATTGATGGGTGTTCTCTGTATTATTGTAGGGTCTTTATCATACAATATAAAGCACCTTGAGGTTAGCGTTCTTGTGATTAGGCACTTCTTCCTACTTCTTTTTTAAACATGTGAGGTTATTTATTGTAATTATGAATATGTTTTTTTTGTTTGTGGTTTTGTCTTTTTTGTTGTTTTATTTTAAAAATATTCAAAATAAAGGCATAATAATAATAATTCGCATATTCTAACTTGCGGGATTAACAGAACCTCTTTCCAGTCATGTTAATGCAGTTATAGCTTTAACAGTGTGGGAGAAAGGAGGTGATTTTTGTCCAGTGAGTCAGAATCAGATCAAACATCCAGAGCATTGGTGTTTGTTTCTGTTAATCTGATGTTAAACTCCTGCAGTTCATCTAAACTATGATGTCCTGTGATGCTCAGAGTTGGTTACTGACAAAGAAACGAGATGTTGGCTTCAGATTGTGACACTTGGAGTTGGTGTGAAATGGATTCGGTTGCAGTTTCCAACACAGCTTACATGTTGTTTTTAATGTGGATCACCATCATGTTGATGTCTCGGTACTCATGAAGCTATGAGGGATTAAACACCAAATTTCAATGCACTCTTCTGCCCTCTGAGGGCCTGTAACTCAGAAGATGTTCATAGTGTGAAGGTAAAGTTTGTCAAACCCTTTCAGAGAGGAGATAAGTTGACCCACAGAAGCACCAGAGATCATGTCATAACCTGTTCAGGCAGGATATAGATGGGTTCATGGGTCCTACAGAGATTCGTCTTTAAATCCAGACATTTTAAAAAGTAGAACTGGGTATGTGTATCATTTTGATCTGGACTTTGAGATCTGCACAGTTTTCAAAAATGAGTTCTTCCATGTCATGTTTATGTAGTCATTTTGTTCGTCTTCAGTGGGACAGGGTAATCGCACCCCTCAGTTACACACTGAAATGATCATGGCCTGTAATGTTCTGATTGGTGTTTGTGGACTCATATTAATTTCCTCCAAGTTTTTCTTCTGTTCAGTCGCATATGTACTAATTTGTATACATGCACACAAAAATATTATTCTCTGTGTTTAGAGGGTATAAAACTCAGAGCAAATAATCACTCAGAAAGATAATTACATGCAATTTATATTAATTTTAATAGCTTTGAGTTAAATGAATTATTAAGTATAATAAAAAAAAAACTTTAGTACGTTTCTAGAAACATTACGGTTTGGATTAAAACACCCCCTTTTTCTTTTAATGCTCCCGTCTCTCGGTCGCCATGGTGACATGACTCTCTCACTTCATTAACATGACGTCACCTACACCACGTTCTCCTTTCCTTTAAACTTTTAGTGGAATAGCCCTTTAATCCTCAGCTGGGAGGCGATGGGGTGAATTCCTCAGAGGCGAGTCGGGACAGGAACCAGATTTCAAATATCTTCGAGCAGCCATTATCTGTGTGTGGCTTCCTGTTAATACATCTGCAGGTTCACTGCTGCCCACATCTGTGTGCTTTATCACTTCATATTAGAGCTGAAGCTGGAAATCAAACACAGGGGTCATATTTATTTTATACCCTATGTAATAAAATTACTGCAGGAGGTTGGAAATGCTTTAAAAAGATCCCACTGCTAGGACTGAGGCAGAAACCATCCCAAACATGTCCTGATATCAGGAGGAGTCACTCCCAGCAGTGCTCGGTGTACATTTATTTTAAGTTGTTTGGGAGTCAAAGGTCAGAAGTCTACACAAATCCAGAGAGGCAAATACAAAAAAAAACCCAGCTGGGCATTTCATTTCAAGTCTGCTGATAACAGGAAGCTTTTCCCGGATAATCATTCCAAATGTTTTAGTAAAAGTATAAAAAAATATATTTTATATGAAGTTTAAAAAATTCATTCTTCATTCATTCATTTTTATTTTATTTTATTTTATTTTATTTTATTTTATTTTATTTTATTTTATTTTATTTTATTTTATTTTATTTTATTTTATCTTTTGACTTTGTGCTGTTCTGCATTTTGGTCTGTTGTTTGCAGATGTGCTATAAACTTAAAAATACACTGACTAGATCAGTCCGTTTTTTCACACTTGGCTGTCAGCCCTTGTGCTTATTTTTGACCCACATGGCCCACAAAACACCAGAACTGTATGTTAATACATCAATTTTGCATTTCTGTAGTGAGAATTAATTTCTCAATATTCTCAGATCTTTGTAATACCGCCCTGTAAACATCTCCTGGTCAATGTTCCCTCTAAGCTGTGCGTGTGCGCAATTGCGCACTGACAACATGTACAACCACTGGAGATGTGAGCAGGACAGAAGGAACAATTGACGGAAAAGTGTGGACTTTATACCAGTTTTTAAATTGTGTTGATAGGCCACGTAAAACCAGAGTTATGATAAAAATATCTGCAATGTTTGTTTTTCTTCCTGAATACTATCGTTGTTTATATTTACTGCGGGAAGAAACGGTAAAAACGGCGTTTTATAAGGAAAACGCTCGAAAGCACTCTTCGCCTGTGGGCAAAAACAATGCCCAAAACCCCCACCCTTTCCTGTTGGTCGAAAAATGTACCATGTTGACCAATCAAAAAATGATATGGCAACATGGCATTTAGATGTTTAGGAAGGGGGGATGTTTTAGGAGTGATGGCGGTGTTTTGAGATGTGAGACATTTGTGATGTTTAGCGCAAATCTTGTGTAGTTAGTGTGTAGTGTGTCAATAGTTCTGTTGTGTGTGTCAGAACAATGAGGCGACTGCTGAATGTTACAGGTGTTACAGGAGTGATACATCTCCTGTTGTCAGGCCTGCAGGTATCAGACTGTTCTCCTTCATCTCATAGTGGAGAGAAATTATTTTTGGGAGTGGCACAAATAATTTGTGTGGCATCAAATTTGATGCAGAACAGCTGATTGTTCTGTAAATAGTTTGAAATATTTATTTTAAAAAAACGCCTTGGCTGCATTTTTAGGTAAACAGCTGCA